CGTGAACAGTATGAGTTCTTGGCTGTGATTGGCCCTTGAGGGCGTGCCCAGCTCGTGTCCTGCCTTACCTTTCAGCTGGTTGGCTCAGTTCCCTTGTGCCTTGGACAGCCCCCTTTCTGTGTCTATAAAAGCTCTTCCCCTCCCAATAAAGTCGAGAACCCGGCTGCGCCCTGGGCATTGACTGATCTCTCAGCTCTGGTGTGGTTCCTTTGCCACCGACACTCATCATCCCGCTCGGCCTCTGAGCTCCCCAGGCTGGCCCTGAGCACCTCTATCAGACCTGCTGCCCCGTGATGAACAGCAGGGGTGGCCCTCCCTAGTCTCCTGCTTCTGCTCAGGCCTTGCCTCAGTCTCACTACAGCCGCCAAACTGATCCTGTTTGGAGCTAGGGATGGGCTCCTCTGCCTACAACCTCCACTGGACTTCTCATCTCACTCAAACTGAGTGCAAATGTCATTACAACTGTCCCCCAGCTTTTGCCACTTGGTGTCCGCACCTCTGTCTGTGCTACGTTCCCCTCTTTCTAGTCCAACCTCTTTGAAGTCTTGCCTCTGGGCCCTTGCATCTGCTGTGTTCTCTGCTAGAATGCTCTCTCTCAGCTCATCAACAGTCACCTCACTTCTCCCGGGTTTCACTCACACTTCACCATCTCAGCAGCCCACACCATTTTACCCTCACGACCCATCTCTTTCCTGCTGTGGTTTTCTCCTTTCTTTTCTATAATTTACATACTTGGCTCATTTGTCTGTTTTCCTCCAGTAAAACACAAGCTCCATGAAGGGAGGCATTTTCTGCCCCTTAGTCACTTATGTATCACCAGGACTTAAAACAGTGTTTGGTACGTGGTAGGTAGTAACAATAGATGTGCTAAAAAAGACAGCAAGCATGCCTCAGCCAGTCAATTGCTACAGCTAGGAGATTGGGGAAGCCTCGTGACTGTTTGTGGCTGCATCAGTGATACTATGCCCGCTCTGGGAAGTACAAACTTGTGAGGCCGATGAGAAGAGGAAATCAGCTCTTGGCTCACATAACCAAATGCTTGTGAGAAAGAGGCACAGTGGGGTCCCAGGATGACGGAGATCCTGGAGGATGCTGCCAAGGTTGTTGCAGATCCATCTCAGCATCTGCCAGGAACTTCATTCAAATACAAACTACTGTCTCACAGTGTGGAGGCAAGAATGCCAACATCAAGGTGCTGGCAGTCATACTCTGACAGGAGTCGGGGAAGGTTTTCTTGCCTCTTCTAGCTTCTGGTGTTTGCTGGTAATTTGTGGCATCTCTTGGCTTGCAGGTGCATCAGTCCTGTCACGTGGCCATCTCTTCTAGAAGCTCCCATTTCACAGTTACATCATTAAAGGGAGACAGGGAGAGACGTTTTATAATCTCACATTCAAAAACCCTCGAGAAGGGTTGCATTGGCTTAACTTGGTTCAGTGAACTTCTCTCAACTAATTGGCTTCCCTAACGGGGTGAGGTTTAAGAGAAGATGGCAGCTCCTAAATCCACAAATGGTTGGGTGGGTGAAACAGAATTCCTAAGAGAATAAAACAATAGATGTTAAGTAACAAGATAATGGAGTCTTGCAGGAAACTTTTACAATTAGCCAATGTGCTAAGCCAGAAATGGACATGTCAACATTACCCATTAAAGTAATTTGCCTTCCGGAATGCTTCCTATCACATCTCTGACAGAAGGTCAAATACACAAGGTGATGCCAGGCTAGCACTCTCCAGTACCTGTGACTGACCTCATGAGCCTTCTGCGTTGGTCAACCAGTTCAGAATGAAGCACAATCACTGACAATAATAAGGGGTAACATTTATTGAAAGCTTTTTGAGAGCTAGGTACTATTTTAAGTGCTTAAATATGTATTAAAGCTTAGTTACTCCTCACAACTATCCTTGGAGGCATATCCTGTTCACTATAAAAGTGAAAACTGAGGGGCCAGTGCAGTGGGTTAACGCCCTGGCCTGAAGCGTTGGCATCCCATGTGGGCGCCGGTTCTAGTCCCGGCTGCTCCTCTTCCGATCCAGCTCTCTGCTGTGGCCTGGGAAAGCAGTAGAAGATGGCCCAAGTCCTTGGGCCCCTGCACCTGTGTGGGAGACCTGGAAGAAGCTACTGGCTCCTGGCTTCAGATCAGCGCAGCTCTGGCTGTTGTGGCCATCTGGGGGGTGAACCAGCTGATGGAAGACTTCTCTCTCTCTCTCCCTCTGACTCTCCTCTCTCTGTGTAACTCTGACTTTCAAATAAATAAATCTTAAAAAAAGAGAGAAAACTGAATCACGGGACATTTAAGTAACTTAGCCAAGGTTACACACCCTGGAAGAGGCAGACTTGGAGTCTGAGTATGGCAGCCTGATGACAGAGCTGTGTTCTTACCTTCCTCACAAATCCACCTCAGTTGGATCTTAGAGTCAAAACCTGGCTTAGCTGAAGCTGCATTCCTAGTAATCTAATCATTTAACTTTATTTATTTATTTATTTTTTTGACAGGCAGAGTGGACAGTGAGAGAGAGAGAGACAGAGAGAAAGGTCTTCCTTTTTCCATTGGTTCACCCTCCAATGGCCACTGTGGCTGGCACACTGCGCTGATCCGAAGCCAGAAGCCAGGTGCTTCTCCTGGTCCCCCATGTGGGTGCAGGGCCCAAGGGCTTGGGCCATCCTCCACTGCACTCCCGTGCCACAGCAGAGAGCTGGACTGAAGGAGGAGCAACCGGGACAGAATCTGGCGCCCCGACTGGGACTAGCACCTCATTTAACTTTTAATAGCACACTCCTAATAGTGTATTGTTGAAATGAAAATTTAATGGAAAAATATGCAGAATATTAGGTGAGGGTGAGGAAGAATCGCCACATGCAGGTAGCCATTGCCAACTGTCCAACTGTCAATAGATTATTTTAGCCACATGAAAGACATTTTAAAAAAGTTGAATGCCAGTGCACACAACTGGCTCAAAATGAAGGCTATATAATTTGCATAACACTGTTAGATGCCAGGAAGACATTCAGTCTACTCAACAGTGGGAAAGGCACTGGAACCTGAATGCCTGAAGAACCAAGACTCATGGTTCCAGGCTCATGTTTATGTTGGAGCACATCATGCCAAATATTAGTGGTGAAATGTGTAAGTTAAATACATCTCTCATGTAGTGTGTGTGTGTGTGTGTGTGTTGGCAGCTATAATAAAGAGTGTCACCATTTTTTATTTAGATATAAGAGCTTGGGACTTGGAAATCTATGACTGCTTATTACAATGGAAGGACATAAATGTAAATGGATTTAAAGGAAATTTGGAGAACAGAAATCTGGCTATATCTTTGGCCAATTTTGGCCAGGATTAAAAGATTGGATGGCATTTTTAACCTGTCAAATTGGTAATTTTTTAAAAAATATTAAGTAGTTTTGGTGAGGATTAAATGTAACAAATATTCTTGTTAAATGCTTATGTGAGTATACACTGGCATCAAGTTTGTGTTCTTTAATATGAGGCAGTATGTACCTCCTAATTATTCTAGCCTCTGATCCTGTAAATCCATTACTGACAGTTTATCCCAAGAGCTATGTCCCAAGAATGTTTACTGCAGTCAGCTAACAGCAAGAAACTACCAATAGCTAAAATACAAACCATTCGAAAACTTATGTATTATGTTTCCAAAGTATTTTAATGACTCAAGAATGATTTTACAGTAAGGTAGATATCATATTAAAGTCATATGTTTCTCTTCATCTGGGATCACTAGTGGTTTTATTTTCTGAATTTTCCAACTTAACATTTTTTGCTCCACTAACATTTCAAATAGAGGTATGAAGTACATTCATGGTAAGTTTACAAGTGCAGCACAAAAATTTATATGTGTTACACCCTGGGGAATATTTTTATTATCTCAGAAAATTTCCTCATTATTTTCCCAGTCAATAATCTTCACTGCATAAAGTAGCTACTGCTTTTACGTCTTTCACTCTGATTAGTTCTGTTTTTTATTATCATTATAAATAGTATACTACAATACATACTCTGTGTGTCTGGCTTCATTATATCAACATGATGTCTAGGATAGTCAACCATATTTCTGCATGGGCTGCTCTTCAATTTTTCTTTTTAGATTTATTTATTTGCAAGAGTTACAAAGGAGAGAGAGAGAGAGAGAAAGAGAGAGAGAGAGAGAAATATGAATCTTCCATCCACTAGTTCACTCCCCAAAAGGCTGCAATAATGGGTTGGGAGAGGCTAAAGCCAGAAGCCAGGAGCTTCTTCTGGGTCTCCCATATGGGAGCAGGAGCCTAAGCACTTGGGCCATTTTCTGCTGCTTTCCCAGGTGCGTTAGCAGGGAGCTGAATCAGAAGTGGAGCAGCTGGGTCTTGAACCCATGCCCACATGGGATGCCAGTGTCAAGGCAGCAGCTTTACCCACCATGCCACAATGCTGGGCCCAAGCTCTGTAATTTTTTATATCCAATTATTTTTCCATTCTTATTGCTCTGCACTATTCTATTGTATGAATACATCACTATATATTTAACCATTTTACTGCTACAGAAATTCTTGCACACATCCTTTGGTCAACAAAGGTCCTTTTTCCCCATCCTGGAGGTAGACTAGGAAAATAATTGCTAGGTTGCAGAGCAGGCATATACTTGACTTCAGTGGTTTCTATGTTTCCTACACTAGCCCAGCACCCTTTGTCCAGAGAGTAACCACTACCCTAAGCCAATTTCTCACTTCCACACTATTTGATCTTCATCACAGTCTATGAAGAACGTTTGGGCCGATCTTCATCAAGCTGTGCGCTTCTGCACAAGCATGCCACAGCAACACAGCAGTCTCTTTTCCTTAAAGCACACCCATGAATTTCTGTTCATTCTTGCTTCTCCACTTCTAACTCCCGTGCAGAAATACTCTAATAATGCCATGTTTACTTATGCACTGTAGTTTTTGTACTGTCAAATTTTATCCTTTACTTTCTTTAACTTTAAAATCTATTGGAACAAAAGACAAGAGTCTTCTCTTTTGAAAATTTTATTAGGCATTGCTAGATGATGTTGCATGATGTATTGCACACATCATGTGGTAAACAGTACTCCACAGTAATCCATACAACAGCTCATACAGTGATAATCAAAGTAGTTTGATTCCCATTATAGTTTTCATCCAAGTAGAGTGAATGTCTTTATATTCTTCCATGAGATCTGATCTCATAATAAAATTACCCTCCCATTATAAAGTAACCAACCAAAAAAAAAGGCCCAACTACAACCAAAAGGTCATAGGGACATTACTGAAAGTCCATAATTAGACTCCAAAATATCACAAGATATTCATTTTTAAAAAAACTTGTCCCTAAAATTTGTGTGATATGAAACTTGGGTTGCTTTAACCACCAGCAGCAAGCGAGACTGTACTTACTAAGAGCGAGCAGTACACTAACACATATCCACTGAAAATTACTGAGGTAATAGATTTTTAAATTTCACCACTTAAAAAAATCTTTAAATTTCCAGGTCCTGTCCAGCAGGACCTATCTGTTGGCAGGAAGATTCTTTTCCTTTTTTTTTTTCTTTGTCAAATATTTACACATATTTGCATATACAACCTGTGTCTTTTATCTTTTCTATGCACATGGTTTATTTTAATGATTCATCATACATTCATCAGGAAAAGTATATACTATGGTACATAAAGAACACAAGAAAACCAGCATTTTGTATAAAGTAAAACAAAGGCACAGACCCAGAAGAGCAAAATAATATATTACACAAAATGGCTTGATGTCCATGAAGTCCACTGTGAATGAAGAACAACATGTCAATAGTGAACACCATGGTCTCCAGCATTTGGATAGGAGTACACTACTGATGAAATGTTGCCAAAGATAAGTTGCAGAGAATCAGTCAGATTTCTCTAGTACCATATACTCACTCTTATTGTTAATGCTTTCAGTAAATTTGTCCTAATTGGAGCCACAGTCAGTCATTCCAACTCCTGTTTGACAATCAGCATTCTTGTATGTGCATCGTTTTAAAACACATTCCAACTTCAATGGCTTTAATTTCTGTTGTTTAATATCCATTTTTGTACTTTGGCTTAAAAATGAATTTGAGGAAAATACATCGGCTAGTCTGCTGTTCTAAAGATTGTACAGTCGATTAAGGTAGCAAATACAGCCTATATACATACCTAAAGATATACTGTCTCACTAGCAGTTTAAATAGAGGGACCAAAAAACACTCACAAAAAATATATATGGCTCTTTAGATAAGAAATAAAGTCAAGTGAAAAAAATAAGGCACTAATAACATATAACTGTTATATACTCATCACACAAAGCACCATATGGAAAGTTAAAGGGAATACAAATTAGTGCTATCGGGAAATGGCAACCAACCCACTTTCCCTGGCTTTTATTCACCAGTTTCTTCCATTCTTTTCAGTAAATTAGTAACAAACACTCAAGTGGTGAGGAAATTATATACTATGTTCAAAGCACAATTCGTGGCACCAACAGCAAGAAATAATTTGGAAATAAGAAGCTGATTGCTCTAACAATGTAAGAAATTAAATGGTCTTTTAAATACTCTATTTTCCAACATTTTCATTTTCATTTCAGCATATTTTGTTTTCCTCTTTTTCTTTTCACAGATTTCTGCATAAGAATATTAACATTGTTTTTTATTTCTACCTGCCTCTTTCTTACAATATATTAAAAATGGTTTCTTCCAAATAGTTTTCTCAATATCAAAGTTAACTGTATTACCACAGAAATTCAGAAAAAGTTGAAAAACAAAATTACATAAGTATCTTCTGATATCAGTGAAAAATCAAAGAAATATTTCAATTGAGCTCATTTTAAACATGAAAAGTATTATGATGCACATTACTTGGAAAAAGGTTACAAATTTTATAGAAAACTAAAAATATACAATATAGTGGAATGGACAGGATTTGATATAAACTGTTAGTGAAAGTTATTAACTCTAAAATTAAGAAATTTCTTCCCATTTGCTATTATTGAGAATATATTGTATATGGGCCATATTTTCCTTAAATAGACAAAAATTGTTCTTTAGAACTGCAATTTCTGAACATACAATAACAGATTAAACATCTGCTTTTCACCATCTTATACTCCAGAAAAAGAGAATATTAATAATTTAATTGTCCCACAGTTTTGCAATACAAATATATTTGTTTCACTAAAATGTCTTATAATCAATTGTGTTTGAAGTAGAAACAAAAGTACAAATTCTCATGGTGACTTAATAATGTGTTAATATAACTTAATAACATTTTAATGCCACTGAGTTTGTGTTCCTTCTACCGAAAATTATTTGTCATCTTTTAGAATTTACTATTTATTATTATGTCGACAATTACTTTCATAAGCAACAAGGTTATCCATTAACTTTCATATTAAAATGTGCAGCATTGTCCTTGTTAAGGTGATGGTATTATTATATACATGCATATGTATTTTCCACATATATGCAAATCAATTACTGTTCCTAGGTTTCATATGAAATATAAAGTTGGTCTACCCTTTTTTTTAATATCATCCACAGAATTTTAATTGTGATGAAAATGATAATATAATAAAAACTATTAAGGGGTGCCCATATGAAACTTTTTAAAAAAGTAGGCCTTTGGTAAAAGGGTTTGTAGTGATCTGATAAAAAAATGTCATGGTACTTTATCTAGAATTTTTTTATAAAGAAATATAAAGCATGGTAATGTTCTATAGACTGAAAAAATTTAGATATTTGTATCAAATATTCAGGTACTATTTGCTTGAAAGAAACAAGAAAAACATTTTGATAAAAGAGGCAGTATTATGATTGAAAATGTCATCTTTAAGAATTTGAATTGTTGAGAATATTTCTTTTGATGGGGCATGAGGTGAACACATAATAAGTTTACAAAGAACCAACAACAGACAGCACAGCTTGCCAGCTACAAGGAAGGATCTGAAATGATATTATTTCAGTAATTTCTGAGGCCCTACAATAGCCTAGTTTGACTTCCTTGGACTACACCTTTACTAAATATATCTTGAGTGTGGCTTATATCTAAATAATATCAATGAGAGTTGAACATTTGCAAAGAACAAATGGTTTCTCTAGGATAGTGCTAATAGTTACATTCAATATGATCTATCTTAGATTATGAAAAAGTTTAATAATGTTCTCAGCTATGAACCCATGGTTGAATCTTATATACAAATGTCACACTATGGAAATCCACTCGCAAGTCCAAGCTATAGAACTTTTTGCTCAAAGGCCCTAAACCATAGCCATAACCCATTATGGGTGAAAAATGAATAACCTGGGGTCAGGCTGTGTGAATGTCTACACACACTTTGTGTTCAACTCATGTGCAAACACAATACTGATCTTATGATATTCATAACACAACTTCTGATGCTTGATTTTAGAGTATTATTAGTCCTTCTAATCCAAAAAACATGTTCTCATTCATTTGACATGCTTTTTGACAGAGAACAAGGCAGTATTCTCCAACAGGTATCAAGAAGAGATCAAATTATTCCAGGAACTCCTGATGCATTTCAATTTACAGATAAAATAAACCAAGGTAAATAAGTCAATTTTATACTCATTACCAGGGCTAAACTGTGGAGTCCTTTCAGTGCTGAATTTCATTTCACTGGAGTCAAAGGAGCACACGGTGGGGCAATTTATCCACAGTTGGCCAAGATGGGAAGGGGACTGTAGAGGCAAAAAGGCATGACAATTGGGAAATCTAAGAGAAAATATGAACTTGATGTTGAAGTATGAAGGTATCCCTTTTTAAGCAAGGAAGACAGTAATTTAATATTAATGGAACAAAGTGAGAAAAATGTGGCATGGAACTGAAAAACAGGCAGCATTTTCTGAGTTACTGTGTGTAATCTAAGTGATGCAGTGTTAAATAAACTTAATGAAGTGTCCAAAAAAAAATGAAGTGTCCAAAAAAAAAAAAAAGAAAAGAAAAGGAAGGAGTGGCAATGTTGCATGTATTTAAAAAAATAATTTATTGCTTTTTAAGTCCATATTGTCCATCAAAACAGTCATTTATTCAGCAAAAATATGGTTTATAGTATGCATAATTACATGCTTCCAAAGTGGACAATGTGTCTAGGGTTCTGTAAGGTATGTGATATATTAAGGCTTCAGTTCATTCTCTAGATAGACAAGTATGATAGTCTCACACTACTGTGGCTCTCTGTTTCTTGGATTTGTAATAGTCAAAGTTCTAATCTTACAACAGTGGTATAAAATAGAAGTTCCACACAATACTTGGCTTTGAAATAAATTAGTTTTACTCTGAAAAACCACAGTTACCAAGGAGTGCCTACTACATTTCTTTCTTAAAAGTTTCTATCATCGGTTTATATCTCAAAGGTAACATTTCCTAATCTTAAATACTCCCCAAATTTTGGAACTCTGAGTTTCCAGACCATATTTCAATACCTCTATAAAATTATTTCAGTTTTATCAAAGTAAGCATGTGGATACATATATAAAATATAATTGTATACCATTTTAGGAGGAAAATGTCAGAATTAAATCGTAATCATTTGAAAAACAAAGCTTTCTCAAACTGGTCACTGGTGGTAGTTTTGACTTTCATGTCTCTACTGAGGGGACCTGTTTTAAAGAATTAATGAACTATGCAATAGAAATTAACTGAATATTTTAAACAAACATTCCAACCAGGTTATTATGTAACATTTTTAAAGTATTAGTTGCTATTTTTGAGCTTCTTTTCACCAATTTCCAGGATTATCATAATCTCAGAAACTTATTTTTTTCAGGTATGTTTTATGTATTTAAAATTTTTAGCTACTGATTACCCCTAAATTTAGAGATGACATGCGGTCATATGCTGCTTAACAAAAGGGTATGTTCTAAGTAAAGTGGCATTGGGCAATTCTGTCGTTGTGTGACTTCAGAGTATACCTACAGAAACCTACATTGTACCGCCTACCAATCCCATGCACCTGGGCCATATGGTACAGCTATTATCACATATGCGGTCAGGCATCGATGGAAGTCATTAAGTGGTGCATCACTGTATTCTGTATTTGCTAACACTGTTCTCTCTCCACTGAAGTCCATATAGATGTCCATTGCTTTAACTCTTGTTAAATCACTTGGATGGCACAAGTATTTTAAAGTGCATTATGGAACTTTAAGGCTGTATGTTAACATATTAATATCAAACAATAAAGCTAACCACAGGAAAAACTACTTTCAAAAACTGGTTTTAGTCACAAATGTGGAAGAATGAGCATACACTTCAATGTGAAGACTCACATTAAGGCATATATGCATCTTGCTTACAAAATTAAAATCTAAGATGGCTTTTGGTATTAATTTTCTTTTTTTGTACTTTAAAAAATTATCCCAACTGATGTTATTTAGGTTACTAACTTGTTTATAATTAAAAATTTTAATAGGCAGCATGTTTCGGCAGATACACTCTGAATTAACAAAGGTCAGGGAATCGTGCTGATGCTCTGCACCTGCCAGACCTCCTGTCTCTTTTTGTGAGAGGATTAGTTAGAACAGCAGAGGTTTAAAGAAAAATGAAATGGGGAGGGGAACCAGGGTCTGGAAGAAACAACCACAGTGTGTAGAATACGGGCCATCCATTTGGGTGGAAGGATTGAAAAGTACAGGCGTCCTGGGGCCATGGGACCCAAGAGATGGTGAGTGCTACACAACAAGGCATTTCCTGACAGGTTCCATTGAATCTTGATGCCATAGTAGAGAATGCACAATTAAAGATATCATGTTGCAACCTGACTGGTGTTTAATTATATTTGATTGTTTCCTGTCTGTTCTACTCTTAAGATACAATAGCACCTATCAGAAAATCAGTGTGGTGGCTTACAAGACGTTGCTTGCATGAAAAGGTTTGAGACCTCTCCTCTTACTGCACACACTGAAATCCCCAGGGAACTGCTGGGATTCAGAATAAAATGAACGTTTCGTGCCATTCCACCAAAACTTACAGGATCTAATTTATCTTTTTATGGCTTATTTTTGGGGTTTATATTTGCCAACCATTGCTCTTACTTTTCACAATGGCATAACATGTGGAGTAACATGCATGAACATGGATAGTGTTTTCAAAAATGTGACAAGCATCATCAACTTGGCTAGAGTTTGTCATTTAAAAACTTCAAGTTTTAAAAATAGGCCATCTCCAAATCCAAATCAATTCATCTTTCTCACATTATCTGAAATATCCTATCACATTTTATTTTTATTGGAAAAAAGATTAATTTCCTCTTATAAAAGTTTTGGCAAGGTACTCATTTGGCTAATAAAGCATGCAGGAAATTATCCTTCCAAATATACTTTCCTTCAAAAATTATGCACTCCTATACAATCTTTCATTTTCTCCAAAAAGAGGTTCTCAAACACCTTATTTCTATGATCTAATTTCCTGGAAATGCATTACAAATTTTATTACACATATCTTCTAAAAACCAAATTTAAAAACTTACGGAAGTGTTTATGCAAGGTGATAAAAACTTATGCAAAAGGGACTTCACTAATGCCTGGTTACTGATAGAGCAGTTAAAATGACCTTGATGTCCATTCAACAGGGGACTGTGTAAGTATAGCCCCACAATGGATTATGTAGTAATTTACAAAAGAATGAGGTAAATTTATTTAAACTTTTATGAAAAGTATCTACCAAATGAAGAAGTCACAGCACAGTAAGAATATTATTATTCTATTTGTATAAAACTAACACACACATTGATACATATGCACACACACTTAATTGTATATTTGCAGAAAGTGGAAGAACATATACCAAAACCTTAATAGTGGCTACCCCCCAAAAAATTAGGGGTAAACAGATAAATTTGTATTTAATAATTGTATATTGTTTTATTTTTAAAGGAATATATATTAAATTTACAATAAAAACATATAAAAATGAGAAGCCTTGGATAGAAAGATATTTATGTTATGTGCACACTTCTTTTCCTAAAATAGTTCTTAGAATTTATCCCAAAAGTTACTACTGTTGTTATATCTTCAAAGTTGGCACTGACATATAAATACTTCTTTTCATTTTATTCTGTTTTTAAGATCCTGATAAAGCTAAGTAAAAAAAATTCACTAATAATTAAGTTACCAGCAGAGAAAGGCCAAATATAGCAATCTTATAGGAGAAAAATGCATACATTAATTTAAAAAAATCTATGCATAGAAAAATGAAAATCTTGTGTAACACAGTGCACACTTCTCAAGCACTGGTGAATAGTCTTCACTGATAACAGACATTGCTGTAACTGGGATAGTGGAAAGTTTTCCAAATTATATAAAAATACTTCTAAAAGATAAGTTATTCAAAGAAAGGAATAAAAATCCCTGAGTAAGCCAAAGACAACAGATATAAAAACCTAAGAAACTAGATGATCTAAGACCAGAGAGTATATTACTCTGCCAGCTGGCATATATGTATATGGCAAATGTACGCATATGTATGATACATATGTGTAGATATATATCATACACGCAGATATCTGCTAGATTTATAAGTCATCCTATTCACACATTGCCAAACTAATGCCTAAGTTCAGGAAAGGTGAATTTGCAAAAATGAAGCACTTTTATGGCAGAAATACATGAATTTAAGCTAGAAATTCTCATTCGTTAAGCTTTAATACTGGAGTACCTCAGACAGACACTCAGGAATACATGGAAGGGAAAACGAAAAGATGGAGCTGTGAAACCAGAACATCACATCTTCTCATCTTGCATTCTGCTTCCTGCTACCCCAGGACTGCCAGGGATGCCACACCCTCTTCTATCTGAAACATGCAAGCAGCCCAGAAGCTGTAGTGGAGCTATTTTGTGTTATTCAGAAATACGAACTGAGTGGCTTCAGCCATCACTATCATGTACTCTTTAGGTCAAACAAAAGTGATAAAATGTCCTTATGCTCTGGAGTCAACAAAGACAAACTATCCATGTTAATGCATGTTTTGTTACCTTATCTATTTGGAGTCAGACAAGGTTGATGACAAATGAGTGCTATATTTATGGCTCACAGCTAATTTTAAGAATTTGGAAATGACTGGACACTGAGGCTTCTTCACTCTGCTGGTGAACATTTGTGATGAAAACAATAGAATATCATGGTTTAGTAGATACTTGTCCTTTCTTATTTTTAAAGAATTCTCAGGTTAGAAGAAAATTCCTGAAATATTTTCTGCACTTTTTTCTTTTCCAAAAGCTGTTTCTATTGTAGATACATCTATGAAGTTTTGTTTTCAAATTACCCCTCCATAAGAAGATAGAGTTTATGCATTTGAGCAGTCAACCTAAGACAAATCCTTCAAAAATGTTTGTTTTTATGAAAAACTTTGGGACAAATAAAAAGAAAGAGAGACTAAGGGAAAAGGTGGAGTATTAAATAATGTAAAACCTTAACTTCCAGCACAATTCTCTGTAATTACAAGTTGGTTAACATATTAGCAGAGAAGGGATTTGTTTAAAGGCTTAAGCAGTTCTCTCTATACAACAAACTTGTTCTTTGTATTAAAGAAACCTGTGTGGAATAATTTATCCATAAAGTGAATCACATATGTCAAAATATAGGAAAAGAGTCAGCATTTGGGTCTGGAGAATTTCCTAAAAGCATCCTATTTTGTCAGTTTACAAAGCTTCATATTCCTTGAGGGGAACATCGACAAGTTTGTGTGTGTGTGTGTGTGTGTGTGTGTGTGACAGAGACAGCAAGACATAGAAAGGGTCAACATCAGGATAGCCTGTTGTCTACATTGACTTTAATTCAATACATTACCAAAGTATGCCCACAAAGGAACCGTCATCTTTAAATAGGTCTACGAAAATGTGGAAAAACAGTGTAGAGGCAGGGAAATAGATAAATACAGGGTGACTGGGTCTAGTTTTAATCTATATTAATATATACACATATTCACACCCCTACACATATACACTTCAGTAACTCAGGATTCTTCTCATTAATTTAGTTTCATTAGTTCCCTTTAGGGCATTGAGAGTTTCAGCAATGACGGCATCTGAAGGATAAAAGAATTATACTGCTTGGGCCACAGATGACAACAGGTGCATTCGGTGAGCTTTTATCTTCCGAAAGTGGCAGAATGCTTCTTGGTACAGATAGGACTTGAGCTGTTCACACCAAGTCTGGAGGGTGGCCTGGGGGGAGGTGCAGGGGTCAAAGACAGTCTGCGGCAATGCTCAGGAGAGGCGTGCTCAGAACAATTCTGAGGATAACTGGTTCTCAAGTAAAATACTTTCTTCCAAGGACTACAAAAGTCAGAGTTATGACACAGATGTTTATAGTTTATGAAAGTGACTGTGAAAAGCAGCAATTTGTTTAGGGAAACAACAGGATACCATGTTGGGAGCGCACCATAGCTAGAGGCATTGTGGCCTGCAGGGAACCATGGGAGACCAAGATGGCAGGAGGCTGCTGTCAGTGTTTTTCAGGCTGTGATGCACAGATGGCCGTACCACTCTGTCAAGCTCCTACTTGGACCTCCTGAGCCAGGGAAGCATCTGCCCTTCACCAGTGCATACCTGTCCGTGACCGTTTTCTCTGTTTTTTACAAAGGCAATAGATAGGAAATACAAATAAACCTAGGAATTAAAAAAAAAAAAAAAAAGAAAATGTTATGCTGAATTAGGAGCATGGACAGTTAGGGATTTCTATTTAAAATTTTTCATTTTTACTGAATTGCAAACTATTTATAAATCATCATTATTTAGGAATATGTAAACATGGAGAAGAGAGGTAATTATGCTATGAAATATATTTATTTCTAAAAGATTTCATTCTTCATCATTTCCTTTAGGTTTCTCCCCATTTTATCACCCCCTCAGTCCTAACAGATTACATATGGAATAATGCTTTCTATCAAAATCTCAGGCATTAGGTTTAAATGCCCTTTATTCTCCATACTCATGCCATTTGGACACGGATGGCTGCACTTAGTGTCAGGCACAGGCCGTGGAGCCCAATGTCGGGTTTCACTTGCAGTTCTCCCACTTAAGACATCTTTCTGAGCCTTAATTCCTCTACCATAAAGCAAAGATAATAAAATCTACTTCGCAAAGTTCTCACTCCCTGACAGAACTTAAAATGTCAAACATTTTATAATCCATTCTGTTTTACACATGCATTACTAGCTAAACAGAAACGTGCATATAAAAATCACTCTTCTAGCAAAAAAAAATGCCACATTCTATCTACTATATGGAGCAGTCATCAAAGCAGTGTTTATCTATGGCATTTAATTTAAAATGCTCTAACAGAATGCTTCTCAAAGTGCGGTCACGGGCCCAGCAGCATCTGTACCATCTGAGAAGTGTTTTAGGGATAGGAGGGGCCTTCAAAACGTTCATGGAGGAGAGGCCTTTGGTGCTGCAGTTAAAACCCTGCCTGAGGCCGGCACCGCGGACTAGGCTAATCCTCCGCCTTGCGGTGCCGGCACACCGGGTTCTAGTCCCGGTTGGGGCGCCGGATTCTGTCCCGGTTGCCCCTCTTCCAGGCCAGCTCTCTGCTGTGGCCAGGGAGTGCAGTGGAGGATGGCCCAAGTGCTTGGGCCCTGCACCCCATGGGAGACCAGGATAAGTATCAGGCTCCTGCCATCGGATCAGCGCGGTGTGCCGGCCGCATTGTGCCAGCTGCAGCGGCCATTGGAAGGTGAACCAACGGCAAAGGAAGACCTTTCTCTCTGTCTCTCTCTCTCACTGTCCACTCTGCCTGTCAAAACAAACAAACAAACAAACAAAAAAACAAAAACAAAAACAACCCTGCCTGGGATGCCCATGTCCCGCCGTGGAGTGCCTCAGTTCCAGGTACAGATGCACCTCCGATTCCAGCATTCTGCTAATGTCATGCTGGGAGGTAGCAGGCCATGGCTCAAGTACTTGGATCCCTGCCACCCTTGTAGGAGACCAGGACTGAGTTCCTGGCTCCCAGCTTCAGCTTCGCACTGCTCCAGCTGTTGCAGGCATCTGGAGAGTGAACCACCTCAGGGAAATCTGTCTCAGCCTTTTGAATTGAAAAAATCAAAACAAATTAAACATGAAAGTTAGTGAAAAATACTCATTTATGAAAAAAAATGCATGGCTTTCAAAATGTATTTTGTTCTAAAATAAATTCATAATGTCATCCTCCACAAACTTTTTGAAGCACTGTCATACAAATTCATGGCTTTGCCCCTACACTGAGTCAGAAACTCAACCAGGAACCAGCCAATCTGTGTTTTAACCAGCTTGACAAGATATTCTAAACATGGTGAGTCTAAGAACTACTATAAAACATGTATGTTAGTACAGTTATATGAATACAAGTACACACATAGGATTTTAAATTTTTAAAATTTCATTTTTAAATTTTAATTAATTTTTAACAGATTCAATATGATTTAAACACACAAGTCTAAGAACATAATGATATTCCCTCCTTCTCCCTCCTTTTTCCTACCTTTTTTTTTTTTTAGTTTTGAGGTAACATTTTATATTTATATTACAGGAAAAAGGCTTAATATTTCACTGAATAAGAAGTTTAACAAATAAAAAGCTAAAATACCCTAGTTTAGTGGGAATACACATAACAGCTAAACAACAATTGAATGGAAAAATAACCATTTCACTAATATACAGGATTTTTTTTGTCAATTAGTCATTCATAATTTCTTTCAATGAAGTAGAACCAAGTAGGTTTTTCTTTCTTTCTTTTTTTTTTTTTTTTAAAGATTTCTTATTTATTTTATTTGAGAGGTAGAGTTATAGATAGTGAGAGGGACAGACACAGAGAAAGATCTTCCTTCCATTGGTTCACTCTCCCGCAACGGCCGGGACTGTGCTGATCCGAAGCCAGGAGGCAGGTGCCTCTTCCTGGACTCCCACATGGGTGCAGGGGCCCAAGCACTTGGGCTATCCTCTACTGCTTTCCCAGGACACAGCAGAGAGCTGGATTGGAAGTGGAGCAATCGGGACTAGAACTGGCGCCCATATGGGATGCTGATGCCGAGTTGGAGGATTAACCTACTGTGCCACGGCGCCGGCCCGAGTAGGTTTTTCTGTTTGTCAGTGCTCAAGTATATGATGGATGGATGTTCTTATTCACACTGACGCATTTTCTGCTTTAACCAACAATGTACCACAGCCTCTTTTCATTGCTACTCCAAGCTGAAGCCAGAATTGGAAAATTTGAATCTAGAATACAAGGTCTATCAATGTTGGTATTAAAGGGAGTTAAGAATGCTTCAGAAGATATGAACCAAAGTGGGTACAAACTGAAATAGTCACACGAATATATCCGATAGGAAACATGCTCCTCTGGATGTATGATACACGATTAGCTACCTAGAGCAGGCATGGAAAAGAAATCACAGCCACTTGGTAACCATCTCATATTATTCCTTTAGCTCTCATGTTGTCCCTATGGTCCTCAGAAATTTCTGTTCTCAAATACATGAAATGCTTCTTACCGATTACAACCGCTATGGCCCCTAGTGCTAATCCCAACACCAGGATTAGAGGTGCAACAAATAATTTTCCAGCTGCAAAACAAAGGTAAAAGTCACTTAGAAAAGTCTCAAAATGAATTTGCTAGACAATTATTCCATTGCTTTTAAAATATCTAGATGTATGTTATTTTTCACAAAGTCTGATTATAAGTAAGGCAGTATTTCTCTAAGAAATCTATCAGGTATAGAACAGATGGACATGGGGAAGTTGAATAATATCATTGAAATCCTAGGCACTTGCCTACAACATCTCACAAATCATTTGTCCTTTATAAGCAAACAAATCACAGGAGGACGGGTTTCCCTTATTCTATTAGGAAAATGTTTGCTTTTGCTTTTCCTTTAGATCTCTTCGATTTTCAATTTCAAGATGTTGAGCAATAAAGAAAGGAGGGACATATCTGAGTTGGCAGAGTTGGCAGGAGAAAAGTTAGCTTACAAAATGGAGCGTTGGTAGGCTTTCTATAGAGGGCCTTCTGCTCAAGGTCATAACTGAACAAACAATTTATTTACTTCTTGTGTTGAAAAAAAAAAAAAACAAACTAATGAACACCTAGTGAACAACACTCCCAATAGGACCTTTCAACACTGATGCTCTGTAAGAGAAAAACTACCAGAAAATATACAAAATGTTGAAGGTCATTCAACTCAATCATTTTAACAAATGTATTTTTTATTTTTATCTGAAAGGCAGAGAGACAGAGCGAGAAGCAGAGACAGAGATCTTTCATCCACTGATTCATTCCCCAAATACACACAGCAGCCAGGGATGAGCCAGACATAAGCTAGGAGCCTAGAACACAGTCTGAGTCTCCCATTTGGGTGGCAGGCACCCAGTTACTTGAGCCATTATGTGCTACTTCCCAGGGTGCACATTAGTAGGTGGCTGGATCGGAAGTGGAGCCAGGACTTGAACCCAGACACTCTGATAGGAGATGTATGTATCCCAAGCAGCATTCTGACCTCTGTGCCAGATACTCACCCCTGTTTTAACAATTTAAAAATGAAAAATTAAATAGGAAGGCTAAATGCTGGTAACCATGCCCAGAGCATTAGTCAGCATTTTCTTTTCTAAATGAATGACTAAGCAGTGATACTAACAAATGCTAGTCACATGAAAACAAAGCACAGAGACAATAATCAGAATCCCACTGAGTTGGAAAGGCACTATCCCAAAATAAACACTAATAATTAATGTTCTGTCCACGGCAGAGTAATCTTAAGGCATGTAATACAGCTGTACAATTGCACAACCCAAATACAACAGGAGATAAGAAAGGGGCAGAGACTTTGCAGTTGTTTAAGGATGAATCAGCAATACAACTCTATAAATTAAAGATGGTACCTTGGAATAATCAATTATATAGGTATATAGTTTTTGCTATATACATATACATACACATAAGGCAGAAATATAACAGACATCAGTTGGAAATTTGTTAGAAAAAATATTCACTTTTTTTTATTCTTAAGAAATGGTCTTTGGAACCAGATGTGTATGAAATACTGTTTTTAATATCTGATTTAAAATGATTGCCATTCAGAAGACACAATGTCTAACCTTGAGTTTGACTTACATTTTTTCACTAATAACAATCCAATTAATACTAAATCCCATTTAACAAATATTTTAGTATAGTCTTTAAAAAGAGGATATGAATTTTCCAGAAAACATTTAATTTCATCTACTTGTAAGGCAGAGTGACAGAGACAGAAAAAGAGATTAGTCTTCCATCTGCTGGTTGTTCACCCGCAAATATGCACAGTGGTGAGAACTAGCACAGGAGCCAGGAGCTTGGAACTCCATCAGGGTCTTCCAAGTGAGTGTCAGGGGTCCAAGCACTTGGTACAACATCCACTACTTCCCAGGATGCATCAAGAAGAAGTTGGATCAGAAACAGCATAGCTGGGATTACCATGGGTGTTCCAATATGGGATGCAGGAGTCCCAAACAGGAGCTTAACCCTCTGCACCACAATGCCTGCCCCTTTAATATACTTTTTTAAAGAAAGTTTTTATTTAATAAATATAAATTTCCTAGGTACAGCTTTAGGAATATAGCAGTTCTTCCCCCCATACCCACCCTCCCACCCCCACTCCTGTCCCACCTCCTACTCCCTTTCCCATCCCATTCCTCATTAAGATTCATTTTTAATTATCTTTATATACAGAAGCCTTTAGTATACTCTTAAAGCTATGCTTAAAACTTTAAAACGTTGTACCTTTTAGAAGAGTCTGTTTCTCGCCCATACACATAGCTCAGTATGTTCATTCATATTTCCTTTTAAAGTAATTATCACTATATTTTTATTACTGCAATGAAACATGACTGTAAAGTGACAGCACTGAGACTTTTTCTCTCTCAAATATCACAGAACTCAAGATTCCTGATAAGGGGATACTTCAAATAGTTAATAGAAAATGCAATTAAAGATAAGTTTATATTGGTGCAAAAAACTAAAATTCATGCATTGTTTTTCTTTTCTTTTCTTTTCTTTCTTTCGTTTGTTCTGTCAGTAGTTTTGTCTTTCTGACAGGCAGAGTGGACAGTGAGAGAGAGAGACAGAGAGAAAGGTCTTCCTTTGCCGTTGGTTCACCCTCCAAAGGCCGCCGCGGCCAGTGTGCTGCGGCCGGCGCACCGCGCTGATCCGATGGCAGGAGCCAGGTGCTTCTCCTGGTCTCCCATGGGGTGCAGGGCCCAAGCACTTGGGCCATCCTCCACTGCACTCCCTGGCCACAGCAGAGAGCTGGCCTGGAAGAGGGGCAACCGGGACAGAATCTGGCGCCCCGACCGGGACTAGAACCTGGTGTGCCAGCGCCGCAAGGCGGAGGATTAGCCTAGTGAGCCGCGGCGCTGGCTAATGCATTGTTTTTCATAATGGGCATTTTCCATGAATCTTTGGAATTACCCTCTTAAGTGCTCCCTCTTCATTAGGAAGTAAGAAACTCTTTTAATTATGTAAACTTTGTTCAAAACATGGTAAAGTCTAACTTTCAAACTGTCTGAGGATTTAACATACTTTCTTATTCCTGGGTCAGTAACAATTCTTTTAAAACATTTTCAATAGCTAAGATAATAATCTATCATACCCAATATCCTATCTTTTAAAAACATTACTATATTTAAAATTTTGTTCCAGTTTTTGCTATTTTAAATTATACTTGCACATACTACATTGTCATCTTGTAGATTTATCATTTATCAAAAGTCTTTCATATTAATATAAAATTTCTTTAAAAAATAATTATACAAATTTTCCAATTTATTCAGAAAATTTCTAGCATTGAGAATTAAATTAAAAAAATCTGCTACTTAGTAGTCTAAAATCTTACATAGATTTATATTTATTTGATTACTAATAACACTGAATATTTCTGAACATATTTATGGGCTATTTGTGTTTCTTCTGTAGTTTCAAATTCATCTTTTTTTAAAAAGATGGGTACTGGGGCCTGCACTGTAGTGTAGTGGGTAGAGCTGCCACCTGCAGTGCCAGCTTTCCATATGGGTGCTGGTTTGAGTCCTGGCTGCTCCACTTCCGATTTAGCTCTCTACTATGGCCTGGGAAAGCAGTAGAAGATGGCCCAAGTCCTTGGGCCCCTGCACCTATGTGCGAGACCAGGAAGACAATCCTGGCTCCTGGCTTCGGATCGGTGCAGCTCTGGCCATTGCGGCCAATTGGGGAGTAAAACAGTGATGGAAGACCTCTCTCTCTCTCTCTCTCTGCCTCTCCTCTCTGTGTGTAACTCTGACTTTCAAATAAATAAATACATCTAAAAAAATGGGTATTTATTTTTAGAATTAGTTCCATTGATTTGTTCATATGAATTATTTACCATCTAGAAATAATCTATTTTGAAGAATTAAATAGCTTGACTTTAAGTATTTATGTATTTGACAGGAGTAGTTAGACAGAAAGGGAAGAAAATCTTCTACTCCCTGGCTCACTCCCCAAATGGCTGGGGCTGGGCCAAAGCCGGGAGCCAGGAACTCCATCCAGGTCTCCCACATGGGTGGCAGGGTCCCAGTCACCTGGACTATCATTTGCTGCTTTCCCTGGCACATTAGCCTGGAAGTGCAGAAGCTGGGATTCAAACTGGTGCTCATATGGGACACAGGAATCATAGGCAATGGCACCAAAAATGCCAGTCCCAAAGCTTCACATTTTTTTGCATGGGATAATATGAGAATTTTAAATTTTCCTCAGGCACTTTTATTCCCAGGACCATTCATCAGATAGTCTGCATTCTCCCTACTTGGGAGATGCCCCGGAGTCAGAGGCTGCTCATCAGCCCCGGATCTGTTCTTCCTCATTCTCTGTGAGTGGACCTTCTGATTAAAAGCTGCACATCTGGTCATGTGGAAGGAAGACCACATTCCCTATCCTCCAGCCATGAGAGCAATGCAGGTCCTTTCTCTACCTTTGGTCAGGGACATCTGGAGGCTGGTCCAAGACTGAAGGAGGATGCTGGGTCATATCACAAAAGGATACTGGGTGGGATGGCTTTCTATCATCTCTCTCTTCCACAGCAGAAGTAAGTAATGTTGTGTTATTGCCTTTTGTGGGAATGGGAGAGGTGGAGACAACTCTACAAGGAGTTACAGTGTAACTGCACTTAAAGCACATCCCAGCTGTGCCCGGGGTGGGAGGACAGATCTATCTATGTCAGGTTTATCTGGACGCAGCTGTAGGTATGCACATGCACACGCAACCATGCATGCACACACACTAAACGGAAGTTAGGGCAAAAAGAAGACCATTTATAGAAAGCTGACCACAAAGTTTTTAAATAAGAAGAAAACAGAAAAGAGTGGACAGAGAAAACATCTTACTGCTAACAATTTTGAGGGGTGCTCAGATCACTGTCCATTTTACAGGCTGCAAAATACCTCTGATGTTTGACCAGAGATGAGGATGCTAAGGACAAGCTGGCAAATAGCTAGAGGGCCCAAAGAGAATGCATGCAAAGTGCTACTGGGTAAGTAGGGCAGGAAGTAAATTCCCTCATGTAGGAACGCCTACACAGAAAAACAGAAAGGAAAGAAAAAACTGGCCCAAGGAAAGATTATTTAAAATAAAAAATGAAAGGAAACATCTTGTCACAACAAAATCCAAGATGGCAGTGAAGCAGGAAAGAAAAGACCCAGAAGTGCAGAAAATACAAGGGTCTTGGTTTTGGGGTTCTCTCTGTATATTAGATTTCCCAGTAGGTTACACCTCTAAACCTAATTTGCCATGAGTTTTCTCAAAGCATAATTGTTATAAATGTGAGTTACATGTCTAGCTATCTCACTAAAGTCTACTAATTAGCAGTAAATATTGGTAGAATAATTATAACATCTACAACATAAGGAAATAAACAGAAAACACTGAAAATCATTCAAACTGATCACAACTATTGTATGCTGTTAGCTGTGGGAAATTATATTATAGGACATTAAGCTCTGAGAGGATATTTTTATAGAGATCACTTAAGATTTCAGCAAATGATGGTACTGGTTTCCATACGCTAAAGTGCATTTGAAAATCTATGTTCATTTCTGTACCAGATAGAAATCTGCCAGCAGCACCCACGTTGGTCTGATCAGCGACCACAAGAATCTAGAGATGGGAGTATTTCACCACAGTAAAAAAATGACAAAGAGCAAAGGAGCAACATAAAGACAATTTCACACAAAAGTAGGTAAAAGGGGTGAAACAATGAAGATGTGAAAAAGTATCATATACATGAGAGAAAGATGGCCAGGAAAAAAAACCTGGAGTTCTGCATGGTAAAAAAGAGAGGAAGAAATCTCACAGTGGGTACATTCTAGAAGAGTAGGGAACTATTGCAGTAAGACATATGAGGTCAGAAGAATATTATCACCCCAAGGCAATGGGCCAGGACAAGTTGACTAGGAGTGCCTATCTGTGTTCATGATTGTATATTCGTGTGTCTGTATGTGTTTGGGGAGAAAGGGGTTGTATTTGAGGAGGAAGAGAGGAGCAAAGTGTCAATTCATGAAAGCATTTATATTTAGGTAATTAAACTTGGGTTCTTAGGCAGTGAAGGCACCTGACACTTATTCCACTAATTATTAGCTGTTAATTATTCATGTAATATAAAAATATATACAATGACATCAATTATACAGACAACACAAACTCCACTGAAGGGCTCTAAAATAGGTATACTTATGATTGTGTTTTTTTTTTTTTTTCTGGCCTTTCTAGACCATGTTGCATGTGATTCTGTACTGTATGCCTTCTGTGAATGGAGGTCATGTGTAAGAAGAGCAGTCAGTTATTGTCCTTATGAAAATAAATGTGGCCTTGTCTCTTATGTCAAGGAACTTACACTAGGGTTGCAGAAATTTAAAAAGCTAATGACTACAGATTTCTTCACTGTAATTAATTGCTTTTCAAACACAATCTGCCTGCTCATAGAAGCACTGTCTTGTATGCACATTTAAGTTTTCAATTTTGATTTCAAAGAGAGAAAGAATATTTTCCTGCTTGGGGGTTGAAGGCCCTACTACAATACCTGGTGCACAGCAGGCGCTCAGAATTTTCCCAGCTGCTATAATTTTATTATCAGTATTCAGTTCCTAGGGAAGATTCCTGCAGGCATGTCAGATACTCACCACAGACGGACCCTCGCACTAATCTCCTTAAATGAGGTCTCTCTGGGAGGTAGCGATATTTGCATCCAAATATACTGAGGTTTGATGTGTGGTCTCCAAAGAAACGGAGCTGGCGGTATCTCTCCCCACATCGATAACAAAAATTAGTGTTACACTGTGAACAGGTCATGTGGTCACATCCTTCAGTTCTCTGGATGTGGATCTAAACCAGCAAAAGAGAGAAAACAGAAGAAAAGGTTATTAAAGTCTTTAGAAGTAAGATCCAGCAAATTTTATGGAACAAAACATACAGGTTTCACTGAAATAAAAATATCATAGAGCATTCTCAATGATGTCAATTTGTTAATTACATTATATAATTATATAACTACATTATATAATTACAAGGTTATATTTTTCCTGAATACTTTTATATGTGTAAAGCTGGACAACATTTCAGGTTATTCAAGCTGTTGACTTATTTTCACCAATAAATGAATACATTGCAACACATCTAACTCAATAGTTAAGAGGCAATTAAAAATGCTATATAATTCTACTTTATTTACACAACTAACAGCAAGAATGAAGTGACCTGGGGAAGTAGGGAGAAATGAAGAGAGGATGTGAATAAGTCTCTAAAGAGAAGTCCCTCACTGCTGAAGGAAGTTGACAGATTTGTGTATTGTATACCATCTTCATTTCTAACTCTAGTGTCATTTATAAATACACTGTTCACAGGACTGTTTGTACCACACCATACGTGCACATAAACACCTTCCTATGTTGTTGTGGCTACAATGATGGTAAATACAGATTCATCTGTAATACAGCAAGGCTTTTATTCTTGGACTGCCCACCAGATGTCCAAGTGTAGTCATGGACTCAGCACTGAGGCTCTGGTGTACTGAAGATATAGCCAGATCTATCTGGGATGTAACCAGATGCTTGACTCAGAATCCCAATGGGTATCATGTATAAAGGGAGCCATCTTTCAACCAAAAATGTACATGTTTTGTCTGTTAGGTGGACAATCATGAGAGAGAACTTAAGATTATTTAACTTAACATTATTTCATGAAAAGAAAAATAGTTTGGTTATGTAGCTCAGCTCCTAGGTGAGTGAAAACAAGATCACCTAAAAAACAATTTTCCTATTTCACTATAGAGTAGGTACATACTGCATGGAGGTTGCAACTTCATTGATTCAGATACTGAATATATATGAGTTTTTAATTTGAATTTTTATTTGAAGTGTTTCTAATATCATTTTGGTTGTTGTAAGGTTCTATCCATGACACTGCTTTGGGATGACTGTGTCAGTGACTGTTTTAACGCAAAGGGAAACTTGACAGTTAATGTGTTAATCAAACCCTACAGGGGCCATTTCAATCTTGTTAGTTAAGTCATGGCCACAGTCCACAACTTTATCTATTTCATGTGAAACGGTGCTCTCCTTCTCGTAATATACAGCATACTTCTCTGAAGTTTAGTAGTGGTGTAATTCAGTTATAAATGCATTTTTAAAAAGCTGTCAATGATGTGGAAATGGAATAAAATTGCCCAGGAGAAAAAGAAAACCTCTGTAAAAAGAGAGATGAAAAAATAAATCCATGCCAAATATACCCTTATAGGTTTTCAGACTAGAAACATCTGAAGTCACTAACTCTAACTCATGTGGGGTATTTTAGTTTTAGTGATGAACAAGAATAATGTTAAACTGCAATTTAATGCAACAACATGAATTTAAAAAAGATTTACAAAATTGCTTGTAAAAAAACAACAAACATTAATACAGGTTTATGTGAAGCAATCAACCAATCAAGTTTTTTTCCAACAAACCTACTCATCTATCATTCATCTACCTATCTACTTAACTTTCAAGAGAGTTTCTAGGTGATTGTGACAATTTTGAAAAGGAATAATTAAGTAGAGGGTAGCATATTATAGGCAAGCTTTTAATACATGGATAAGCCAATCAACCAAGAAAGTAAAGTTTGCTAAGCGGCTGGCAGGATATTGGGTATTCAAAATCAGGTGAGCTGTAGCCCCTTCTCTCCCAGGGGCTGACTGATTCTTGGCAGATAAGCCTCACCCTGTCAGGGGGTTGAAAGAACAAGAACTTAGACTTTAGCATGCTCTGGGTCTACTAGCTATTTAAAAAAAATGTTACCTTCCCTCTCCCAAGTCTCAATCTAGATGATACTCCTTACCACATAGAGTAAAATGTGATACTATATGTACAGTCCTAACCCACTACTTGGCGCATACTTAGTTCATTATAAAGTTGGTTCCCAGCCATCCTTTCCCCCTTCCCCACCTGAGAGATCAAATACTGTGTAAATACAAGTGAAAACTCCTTCATTGCCAGGTGGTCCCCTTCCCCCTTTTTAGACTGATGCTGGGCTAGACAGCACCTTCCGAGAAGCGCAAGGGATAGCTGTGGTCAAGGGATACTAAGATTATCATGACTTGGATGATAAAAGCAAAATGTGTTTCTTGCTGTGAGGAATCTTGTGCTCCTTCTAGTCATCTTGAGTTGTTTTGCTATTACAGGACGGTCCAGTAGCAGTGGACTCAACAGGTTTTGAGGAGACTTCTTTCAGAGGCAGAATGTGCAACACAAATTAGACCCAAGGCCTGTGCGATGTCACGGGCGGCCTGTGAAGGGAAGCCTCTTGATGGCTGTCTATCCTGTGCCAAGCACTGTACATATATCCGCATGTCTGAGCCTCCCAACAGCACTGTGACATGGGGACACCAGCGTTCTTATTCACAGCCAGAGCTCAAAAACGTAACCTGCTTGAGGTACAACCTAGTGCATGGAGACTTTTGAATTCATGTTTGTGCCTGTATTATGGTAAGCAGCCTTTTTTTTATAACTTCAAGTTAAAACCAGAATTTTTTGCTAACCAACAGCAAAATATTTATATTAGTCAGACAAATATGTCTACTCTCCCTACACAAGACTTATCTGACCCTTTCTGCTTACTTCGGCTATTCTCTGGGCCAATTCACATTTTTCCTTCAAAATGGCATCACAACTTTTTGCGTCCAGAAACTTGTTCCACTTTTAAACTTGCAACTGACAGTTCATTTGACTCAAAAATTCACATAAATTATTCATTATTCGTTTATATGCGCTTTTAATATTACTTCATTGGGTTCTAAAATCTTTTTATTGCTTATTTATTCTTTCATTTACATAATAGACTGTAATTTCTAGTATTTCTTTTTTAAAAAATAAAAAACAGATTCTTTGTTTGAAAAACAGAGTAGCAGAGAGACAGAGGGAGAGGCATAATTAAGCAGGAAATGATAACTAAATTAACTGTTATGAATTACTGTCATCAACAGATATTTTACTCTACACAGAGTACAAATAATTTATATTTAAATTATTTATTCATTTATTTCCTTCAATGACTTTTTGTATCTGGAAGCATTAATAAGAAGCAACCATTATGAGGAAAGCTTAAAAACAAAATCCTACAAGTAATGCTGAATTCCTCACTGAGCTCACTGACCTGAGACTCCCTAACACACAGGGGTTCTTTAACAAGCAAATCCATAGATACAGCCTTCAAAGATCTGATGACAAATATGATGCATCTAGATAATTCTATCTACTATAAAAGAAATAATGGTTGAGGGCAAAAATCAATTACCTGCAGAAAAGCTGAGACTCCTCTACACATTTTCTGAGATCAGAGCTCAATGCAACACTTCACATATGAATGAAATTCAAAAAAGGACAGTGTTGACATATATTTTTAAAAAAAGTGTCAGAAATCCCAGAGGAAAAGCTGGAACACAATCAGGCCAACTTAGAAAAGAAAGTCAGTCGGTCTCAAGAACATCTTCAAATAACAACAATGGTATATACACTAATAAAATTCCTGAGTTGCTAGATGTTAACTAAAATGATGAAGTAGGTATGTCCACTCTCAGTAAGAAAAAATGAACAGCAACAAGAACTTTCACAGAAAACAAGATAAACAGCATCCAGGTTCCAAATATGAGGCATAACAAAATATGGCATGACTGTAAAACTGATAATGAGTAAGGACTCAGGGACATTTTCTTTAGAAACTGTAAAATACATCCATTATTTTAAGAAGTGTTAAGTAATATGGTGCCTATGGAGTTATATGCTTTATTTTTCTTCCATGTTACCTACTGTGGGAAGTTCAAAGTTACAGATCAAATTATATATCAAAGTTATAGATAAGATGGCCAGAGGGAGTCTTACTGGGAAGCTGAATATTACTCAAAACATGAAGTGAAAGAGCTTGTCATGTAGATATCTAGGGAAAGAACATTCTAGACAGGGGGAAGAATAAATGCAGGGACCTGAAGATGCCTAATGCTTTTCAAGTATCTCACTGAGTACAACGTAGCTGTCACGGAGTAAAGGAAGTAGGATGTGTCACTTGAGGAGTAACCGGGTGGAGACAGGCACAGAGTGAGAAGGGTCATGGGGTCACCATATGGACTAGCTTTTGCTCTAGGTGAGATGGAAGGAACAGAGAACTTTGAACATAGTGATATAATCTGCCTGTGCTCAACAGTTTCATGCTGCCCATCAGGTTCAGAACTCTATGAGGAGTAAGAAATCAGTCAGAAGGCTATTGTTAAAATTCCAGAAGTGCCTTAGACCAGATTAATGATAGTGGGAGTGTTGAGATGTGGTCAGATTCTAAATATACTTTGATGGTACAATCCACAAAACCTAACAACTGACTGGATGTGGGGACTGAAGGAATACGTGGGTGATACAAAATTATTGGTCCGTGCAGCTAAAGACAAGAGTTGCCATTTACTTAGATTGGAAAGTTGTGGGAAGAAACATTTTGGGGAGATGAGAGTGCATTGTGACAGATGTTAGAGACAAGTGAAGAAGTCCAGTAGGTAGTAAGGAATATACTCTTTTCTCAGAGTTCCCTAGACTTTTATGATCCACCATAGATTGCTGCCTCCAGGAAAATCTATGCTGTGCTTGGAACTCAAAACAGAGTTTGTTGCAGAAGGAAAAGACAACTCCTAAAACTTAAAATGAAAATGAATTACCTAAGAAAATTTCAGATCCTTTAGCAAAACTGGCCCCGTCAGTATCCACACAATAAAATGGTCAGCAAGCAGGTATCTGTAGGACTCAACATGGATGTTCCCAATTCTTTCTCCAGAAACCACAGGCTACACACAGCTCAAGAATAAGAGGTCA